GACCTGCCCTAAGAGGTCACTGATATTTTAAAATGGGGTACCAGTCGCTGCGTCACGTAACGACGCAAGCGCTCGTTTTTTACGCGAGGCTCTAGCAGCTAGCTCAATTATAGGAGCTTAACATGGGGTCGGGGAATCGCTCCCTTCTCACTCACTATTTGGTCGGGATAGTGTTTGCAATTATTGTTAAAATCTAGCATTTTAAGATTTCAAATGACCCATTTCCCCGCCCAAGCCTTTCAATTCAAGGTCATAACACCCGGTCACGTCAAGTGACCTTACCTCAAGGAAAGTTCCTGTGCTCATTATATCTAAATACACCGACTAACGATCGCTTCAGAACTTTCAGCGATTTTAATGGGCAACAGTATATGCATTTGAAACGTTTACTTTGCAAGTTTGACATTGCTGACAGAAAGGCCGGGTCAATTTTGAGATCGCTCAAGTCAATGGGAGAAAATCGAACTGCGCTTTTTTGGACGGAACGCATACGGCATAATAAACACTCTGAGAACATGTGGTGCTTGATGAGATAGAATACTGAATGAGAAAATTGTTTGTTTTGTTCGGGGCCATCTTTTTCGGTCTGAAAAGGCCCTTGCAAAGCTATGACATAACTATGCTCTGGTGTAGTAATTGGGTTGTGCGAGCCAGCGACAGTGATCTGCGGAAGCGAGACTGTTCCCTTGGGACGATTGCCCTGTCGGGGACGGTCCAGCCGTCTCCCAAACGGTCACCCGAAGAGGATAATGTGTCCTGGAATGGATCCGACATCAACTACAGGTTGGCTGGTGGGGTGACCTCCAGTCCAGAGAGGGAAGCATGAAGACTAGGGGCGATGCGGATTGGTTTTTCCTGAGGATAGCGAGGACGGAAGGAATCTAGCACCCTTGAACCTTCCTTATACTGAGTGTATCTCAGGCTGTTAACCCGCGAGCTGTTGGGGGGGGGGGGCGTTAAACGCCCCCACTTTTTTCGCCGCGCTATAGCATAAAAATGGCGCGCCGCAAGCGCGCCAAATTTTAAGTACCTGTAGGGAATTGATCGAAGTTTATTGTGGCAAAGTTTAAAAAAAAAAATCGGTCGGAAAATTTGTGAGCTATCGAGGCTTTAGTGACGTCATGATTTCTGAGTTTTCGACCAAAAACGGCATATGTTCAAAAAATCATATAAAATCACAAAATAAACATACAGACATGCCGCAAACGCCGTAGGACTGCCAATACCATGAACAATCAAATGGCTATATTTGATTTTTGATTATCGTTCCACACTTTCCACAATCTTGAACTGAATCTTGGCAATTTTTCGTGACTACTTCAACACCATGATACATGCATTTCTTAAATTGAACTTTTTGAACCAAACACGTGCACATATGATACAATGAGTGCCACCATCGTGTTCTACGCCCAAAATTACCCATAAAACATGTGTCATAGACTGCGAATACCAGTTTTGATATTTGGGGATATGTGCTTACCTGATTGACCTGACCTTGACCCTGGCCTATGTTTGACTGACCCCTACATGTATCTGACACTCTTGTAGGCCTTATATGTATGAAGGATTGTGCACCGTTTTGACAGAGTTTATGACGAGAGGCGCCCATTACGAGGTTCTGAAGTCCATCCTGCTGAAAGCCCGATTTCAGGTGTTTGAACTGACCTTGATCCGACCTGTGATCTCAAAAACTTTCAAGTACTCATCTGAAGCGTCTCGTCGCGTTCTTTCGTTTGCCGCCTCGTGCGTTTCGCTGCGCATATTGGTTCTCGAGTTATCGGCTGGGGGCGTTTAACGCCCCCCCCCCCCCCAGCAAACGGCGGGTGGCGAAATACCCCAGCAACTGCCGGGTTAAATCTTCTAAGCGTTTTTTCTCGACATCGTCAAGGTGTCATTAACAAAAATATGAAATCCGGTAGGATAAATTAAATATAGAAATTATGGCCAACAGAACATTATCAGTTGCGTTCAACATACTCGTAAGCATGTTTACACATCCAGCTTACATATGAGCCATGTAATAATTATTTTTGATAGACATGAAATCATCTGAAGTGTTTGTAAAGGTCCACGATACGGATCTAATATCCTGCTATGCATTATGAACATTTCTGGTCAGGTCATGTCTTTGAACATAGGCCAAATTTTTCAAATGACCTTCAAGATCAACTTTTGATTCATTCGAAGCGTTTTGATAAGAGGAACACGAGGCTGGTAAAATTAATTTCATGCAAGTTTTAAGCTAAAAAATTTTTAAGTGTTTGTGGAAAAGCATTTGGCTTTCTCATAATACCGATGGTGGCAGTTGTTGTTATTTACATGCTAAGCCGTTGACCTTAATTAAATCTGACAATATTATTCAGACATAGCGATAAAAGAGCTGATTGTTGTGTTAGGTTAGGCTCTTTCGGTCGATTTCAGAGTGGGAAGGATGACAGGAATTAGGGGGAGACAGGGGGCCCGGGCGGGAGTCCTGGACCTCATGCTCCGCTGGGGCCGAGCCCATCACGTGGTTTGGATTGCCCTGACACATGGATAGCCCTGGGCGGTGTTTCACGGCCCCGCGTGCGCTGCGCTGCTGCATTGTTGCGGCGGTTGATATGAATACGGCTCCACGCTAGCATTGCGAGCTTCCGAGTCTGTTGATGTTTCCATGGAAATTGGAAACCCAATGCACCGGTGCGCGCAACGCACCCTGTCTAAGCAAAATTTTACCATCGATGACCTCTAGTGACATGACCTCTGGCTATGACCCGATCCAAAATTGGCTGAAGTATTTTTTTTTTCTTCTTTTTGCTACTTTTGACGCTACTTCGAATACCACATAAATGCCCAAAGCTGAGTTATAAGAATGATGCCCAATCCCCATTTCCCCTCTAACAGGGCGTGAGAGTCTAGGCATTCCTGTGGGGCACGGGCTAACAATGACTATCTCATAATCATTGTGGCCATGAGCATCTACTGCCATTCTTTAACACCGGTTTCGCTGCGCTGAGCGGTGGCCGTCCCGTTTGTTGGATTCTACAGCTGGCTGCGGAAAGCGTTACCGGCCGCCCGTCCACCGCCCGCGGGCCGGACCGAGCGGTCCCGCTGACCCTACCTGACCTGAGCCCGGCGCGATATGGGACAGGCAGACGGGGGTTCGGCTCAGCGAAGGCAGCGCCCACTGGTGCTGGGGACTTTTTTAATAGACCTACTGTACATAGTCCTGTTGATTTGATTTGTCGGTTGAACATTGAATATACTAGTTAGAACGCTGGATCTCTGGTTTGTGATCTCGCATTCGGTATCAGTTGTAATGACTTTTCATGTCAATATGCCTAATTATAGTGAAAATGATGTAAATATAACTGTACTAACAATGCTTATCACAGCCATCAAGCATACATGTTCTCGATATGCCTACATAAAGATGCGAATATACCTACGTGAAAAAGGAGTCTTGTCCCCGCTCCTACACATTCGGGGCAATAAGTGACCGGCCCTTGTTTCTAGCCAGCCGAGGCCGGTCGGCTGGCCGGCAGCCAGGCGCTGCCCGGGGTCGATTTCTGAGGACCTTGCAACTATGCTTATTAATTGAATGTTTTAGGCGTGAAAATAATTATATTTACCGACTTTGAATCGCAATTGAATAAAACGTACCAGCGTAAAACATAAATGCTTGAAAATTAAAACAGGTCCCGAAATAATTGTTTTACTATGCCTTGGTAAAAGCTGAAGCTTCAAGTTAACACCGAAATAAAAGCACGTATAGGCCGTAGCGCATTTTTTTTGGGGGGGGGCCTTTGGCATGGGGGGCCCAGTTCGCAGGTCGTGCCCCCCCCCCATTCAAAAATCCTGTGTGCGCGCCTGCAGCTTCGTAACATGTTACGAATGCACCAAAACTACTTCGTAAATGCTCAAATGGTTGCTGAATTCGAAATCAGCTCTAAAAATTAGCCTAGAAACATGTACAACTCGAAAAGTGAAACGAGGTCACAAAGGTCAATGACCTGACCTGACCTTCAGGTGACCTTGACATCCACCCTAATGCATGGGAGCAACATCAAATCACTAGTGGTGTCAATTGGAACTTGAATCTTCGGAATTCCGATTTTGTCCAATGTCCAATTCGGAATTCGGTTGGACAATGACGGCAGGCGTTGGACAACTTTGGACAATCACTTGCTACACCTCAGCATTTTTATAAAGCAATCGTGTTTAACACTGATTGGCGAATAGAAAGCTCAGCTTTTGAGATGAGTAACACGAGATGAGTAGCTGGCAATAGTACATTAAAAACAATTAAATTACAGTGTTGAGTGTAAACTATTGCGTAGGTTTCGGACATCTTTGGACAAATGGCTGGCTAGGACATTTTTGGACGGACAATCGACGTAAGCATTGGAAATTGGACGGACATTGGACATTCATTTTCTGAAACTGACACCACTACAAATCACATGTTTGAACGTTTGAAACCACGAAAAGCTTGCAAACGCGCGGCTAATGCGAGCCGACATACGCCGAATTGCGATTCCGGCCAAACATGGTCTCGGAAAGTAGGTCACAGGTCAAAGGTCATTTTATTAAGGGCCATAAAATTTTTAGCGTAGGTGTAAACTTGATCAATGCGAGGGTACTGAAAGTTTCGTCGCGATCGGACTCTTTTTACGCGAGTTATTTGCGAAAAACCTTAGGGGGGTTGCATCAACACCCTTCCCCCTGTGCCGGCGAGGGTTAAAATAAGGGGTACTAATCGCTGCGTCTCGTAACGGCGCACACGCTCGCTTTTCCTGCGACGCTCGCCTCTAGCTCTATTAGGGGAGAAACGGCGAGGGGGTCGTACCGGTACCCTACCCCCCCCCCCCTCCCCCTCGGCCGGAGCGTATGTGGAAAACCAATAGGTCCGGCGAGGGTTAAAGAACATCGAGCACGGTCCATTCCTGGCCACTTGACGGAGCCTTGCTCTGTCTCAGATAGGGAACGTAGCTGACGAGCTTGTTTCTCTTTTTCAGAAACAGACCGTAGTAGCCTCTTACCAGGTACCATTAGACTCTCAGGGGCAGTATCAATTCACCTAACGGAGGCATCTCGCCGGCCGCTTGGTGTCAACGATCCAGATAGCGCCTTACAGGTAAGGAGCACAGGAGTACAAAAATACTTTCTTGACCTCACACACCACAACTTTGAATAGTTTCACTCCTGCAACGTCATCTTTGCACTGACTTGAAAGAGAAAAATAAAAACCGTGTAAAAATTGCAGATACCAACCGAATGTATCCCATACGTTTACCGCTTGTCGCTAGCCTCAGTCTGAATCGTTTTCGAGATCCTAAGGGGGAGAGGGGAGTATAGCCCTTCTGTGCAAAGTTGTCCCAGAGTCAATTTTTGTCAAACCACTTTCAGATATGCAAGACTCTGAGTTGTCCATAACGATGACCTCAACATGAGCTAACGATGCATGTTTGTTGTTTTGTTCGTTTCTTGATTTGTTTCCTATTTGTCCATCCCAGAAATGACAATAATTGCTCACTCAGCTGCACGTTTCGGTCACGCTGACATCTTTTTGTTGTTTCTGTTTGCAGCTCGACTCTGGTGTTTCTGAGACTGATGTGGACATTTCAATCGGTTCCTATTGTGATGTCGGCCCTGTCATCTGACGGCATATTCCGGCACCAACGGCAGCAGATGGGTGTCTTGGACTGGATCAAGTCTAACTCTATACAAACGTTATAATTGTATTTAGCACAATAATGTATTTTCCATCTGCTGAATCTAGTTTCGCTGAACCATTTTATTTTATTGCAAATATCCTGCCTACCTATAGGTATAGCCAGTAATCTGGCAGCCTGGCAGAAGGTAGGCTGAAACGCAAACAAGACAATCAATGCAGCAGCTGAAAATGATTTATAATTTGCTTCCTCTATAAACTAGTATGACTGGCATATCTTCCCGTTTTACTGTATTCGTAGAGTTCGACGCACCTTTCAACGATATGCGTCTCGTTGCCAATAACCCTTGTGTTTGTGATTGCAGCTCTGGCCTGGTGTTGCTGTGACTGGTGCTGCCACCTACACAGGCATCAGTTGATGGTGCTGCCATCTGTCAAACTGCTTTCGGCATCGACTACAGCTCATATCTTGGACATTTGGCTCCAAGGGCAGTCTTCGCTACTGAGGCTTTTCAACACCGTGGTATTGACTATTGGTATTGTATTGGAGGTATTTACGGAATTGCATAAACTTTGACATCATTAGAGAGATGCAAACCCTTACAGATACCTATTAACTAGCATGATAGGTATAGGTAAATCGCATTTGGACCGTATAATAGAGCCTGGGTACATATATCTAATCATACAATCATACTGATCATTACATCATATCATATAATTAACTTATATATGTGGAATTGATCAATGCCACGGGTCACATTCTGATTTAGTATCGGTCCACGGCCATTGAACAGTCGGTGGTCTCTCGTGTTGCCGCTGTACAGTGATGACCAATCCGGTCCAGTGTTGTGGCCACCGGGTGACGGAGTGCACCGCCCACTTGTGTGTGTGTCTGTGTGTCAGCGGAAGGGGGAGGAGCCACCCGGAGAATAATCCACTTCTCCTTATATCTCACTAATAAGTCGTTCCAAAAAAAGTGGCTGCGTGGCGTAATAGTTAGCGCAGTCGCGTTCCAAGCCATAGGTTGCGGGTTCGCGGCCGGGTGGATCTATTTGCTTTTGCCTGTGTTTCTAAATAGCACTTATTCAGTCAGTAACTCGGTTGCCAAAACGAAACACGCGCGGCGGCGCCGGCGGCGGTCTTACCTTGTGTGTCGTCCTCCGCCAGGTAATGCTGCAGCAGCTGCCACCGGTCCGGCCACCGGCCGACGGCCGCGTCGTAGGCCGCGCGCAGCCGGTCACCGGACAGCAGCTGCTGCATCCGCCGGCGCCAGAGGCCGGCCGCGGCGACCACCGTCGGGCCGTCCATCTCTGGTAGTTTGACACGGAGCCAGTCCTGCAGGTCACAGCTGAGGAGCAGCTCCAACACCTCCCGGCACCACTGGTAGGTGGCCGGTGGTTGGTAGTTCCCCTCCCAGGCCTCCTTCGTCTCCCGGTCCACCTCTCGCCGCACGTCCATCACCCACGGCACGGCCTCACCGAGGGCCCGCAGCAGCAGCTCGGGCCGCAGCAGCAGCTCGGCCCGGCCCCGCGGCGTGTCCGGCTCGGCGGTCAGGCCGGCCGGCCGCTCCCGGCGACACCAGGCGGCCACCGCGGCCGGCTCACCCAGCAGGAACACCAAGTCAGACTCGGTGAGGAGCCGGGTGAGCGGCGTCACGTCGAGCGTGACGGTGACGTCACCGACCGGTGACGTCATCGGCTCGCCGTCCGCCAGGTCCGCCGGGTCCACCACGCTCCAGGCCATGAGCAGGAGACACTGCTGGTAGTGTGTCCCCGACATCTTGTGGTGCCACCACTGGAGCAGGCGGGGGGCCGCGCGGGCCAGGAGGGGGATTTTGGCACTCCACCAGCTCTCCCAGCAGGGAGCCGTGGGGCGGAACCTGATACCTTCCCTCACAGCCTGCCGGAGGAGCGTCCGTCCCAGACGGAGCCGCAGCTGGCGCTCTGAGAGCGGCTCCGTCGGCCGCCCCTCCAGCAGGGTGTTCAGGGACCACTGCTTCTCACAGCAGGCCATCAGGAGGGGTGTCAGGTGCTCCCTCACCAGCCGGAGGGAGCCGATGATGGCCTGCCGCTGGTCCGCGGTCAGCTCCGCCGCCACGTTGATGGCCGGGTAGAAGAAGCAGGGCAGCCATTCTTCATCGAGGCGCCGCTCCAGCCAGTCCAGGAGCCGGTGGACGCCGTCCGTGACGCCCGTCCGCGGTCCACCGTGCGGCTCCTGGGCCACCCAGAGCGCCGCCGTCTTGATGAAGTACGACTTTAATAAGTCGCCAATGGCTACCCCGCTCTCCTTCAGGATGTTTTTGATGGCCTTTAGGGCTCTAACCGCAGCCCGCAGCCCCGGGCAGAGCTGACGGACGGCCAGCAGCTCCGCCCGAGACAGCGAGATGCGGTACTCAATAGACTCCGTCTTACTGCCCGGCCGGCCGGTGGGCACCAGGTGGACCCCGAAACTGGTGTCCCAGGGGGCGCCGTCGGGCCAGACTGGCGCGGGCCACCAGCCGCGCACCAGCAGGCAGAAGACGAAGTCTATGCCGCCGCTCTTAGAACCAGGCCTCTTGACATTGACTGCCGGGCCGGTGGGGGTGATCTCACCATCCATCATGACCCGACAGAAGTCTTTCATCAGCCGACGGACGGAGTCGGCCGGCAGCGCCTCCAGCGGCTCCTCGTGGCCGCACCGGGCCGTCCGCACCCAGTGCAGCGTCACGAAGCCGGCGTTGTCGGTCGGCCGGGCCCACAGCTGCGGCGCAGAGCGCGGCTCGATGACGGCCGGCTCCGCGCCCGGCGGCGCCCAGCGGAAGGGGCCGTCAAACTCCAACATAATGTCGTAGTCTGACGTGCCCCCCTTACCGATGATAATGTCATCCAGCCCCTCAGCCGAGCTCCCCGACCTGTTACAGGTGACCAGCCGGAGCGGCTGGCGGGGCTGGCAGTGACGACACCGGGCGGCGGCGGCGGCGGCCCCGACCTCCGCCAGCGCCGACAGCAGAGGGCGGTACACCAGAGCATCGACGGCGTCACCGACCTCACAGCCGGTGATGTACGCCTGGTCTGCGGGCCCGTGGTTGTCCACCAGGTCCAGCGCCACCAGCAGCGTGTCGGCGACCAGATGGGCCGCCGACCCACACCTCCTCACCAGCTGCTGCACCACCGGGTCCAGCCTCCTCTCCACCAGCCTCCAATTCCGCTCCACCCTGTAAAAGCGAGCGGCATCAATGATTTTAGACATACTTGTATCTACGTAGGTAGTTATAATAGGTAAGCGATCTAACGTAAGGCAAACACTAGGTGTCACTGTCACTAGGTGTCACTGGTCACTGTCGTAAAAGGACTGGCCGGTGCCGGCCGGCGCCGCTGCTGATATACCGACCGCCGGCGGCGGCCCCGATAAGAGCCGCCGGCCGCCGGCAGCGACAGGCGCGCGGCGCCGACTGGAGCCGGCCGGCGGCCACCTCCGGCTGCCGGCGTCACGGCCAACACAGAGACGAGCCGGGCCGGCGCGGGGCCACACACCAGAGGTGTTACCTGCGCCGATCTATTCATTACAAAATGAATCATGTTTTAGCCTTGTTAGTTGTCAAACAAACATAATTGTCTTGGTCCGTGCTGTTTATACACGACGGGATGGAAACTACCTCCCCCGTCTGGATGAGCACAATAATGGACTCGTCCGTCCATACTGGAACGTCCAATGAGCTCCGAGTGCGGTGATGCTGGAACATCAGTGTAAAAGTATTTAAATAAACGACTTCTTATGACTCTGCTGTCCACTGGGGGGGAAGGGGGGGGGGCGAGGGTGAGCTAGAGAGGGGAGGGGGGCACGCAGCTCATACCTACCTAATTATTCTGAAAACTGACGGTTCAGCATCGTTTGTAGAACGGTGATTGGTGATTACTTTGAAATGAAGACCCAACCATCAAACGTAGGAACATCAAGGCTCTATAGAAGGTAACATACAAGCACAATACAACGATTTTAAATGTATTTAGTGTTTAGAAAGCGCCCCTACAACGCGTTGTCGCGAGTTGTCTCGTGCTGTAAATACATCGGGTCGCCGGCGGGCGGAGGTTGGCATGGAACCGCCGTTTGTATGTGTGGATGGCGACTTCAGTGATTATTTTGTGCCAATGGGAGCTCGTTAGCAAATAAATAACCACTTGTTGCCTTCACTGCGGTTTGCATATCATGCCTGTGAATCTGCTTCCGAAATGCCGAGAACGACAATCGAACGACGCGTTTGGAGGATTGTCAGCACTGATTTACACGATACTCTCACATGTAGGTCAGCTCAAAGATAGGTCTACAGGCGATGTCATAACTCATATACCTACCTATAATGTAATTTTCCTGCGTTCTAGCTTTCAGAGTTGACCCCAGAGGTCACACAGGGGTGACCTGGGTTTGACGTGAGAGGCCGGTCGTCGCAGGAGCCCTTCCAACGATAGCTGAAAGTCGACGGCCGATAGCTGATCCGCCGATGGCAGGTCACCTCATGTCTGAGTCTGTCCTGAGTGGTGTGACACCCGGGCCTCTATAATCCTGTAGAGCCTGTCGTTGGAACAATTGAGGTGGGCTCGATAACCCGGCGTCGTTCAAACATTGCACGACGCTAACGGCTCTCCAACGGGAAATTTCCACTGCAATGAGTGGTCCGATATCGATACAGCTAATGCCCAGCGAAGGCCAGCCCGTTTTCACTAATCCGAACAAGGCGTGGCTGTTGGTGAACTCTGTCCTGTGTCACGTGAACACGACCGGCGTCTGGGAGAGGGGGGGCTGCAGGCACGGTGCACTGTCGGTCACGGGACCAACGATACTGCTGACCTGACTTTGACCATGTCAGGTCAGCATTCAGCAGTCAGCCCCCGAACGGTCTGGGCTGAATCCGGGCTGCAACGAATGGGGTGGCGTTTATTGGTAGGTACAATTTGTCCCGCTGAGGTCAAACGGGGTCACATATCGAGAAACCGTTTTCAAGGAACGATACTACGGCTTAGGCTTATGAGCTGATGATGTGCTTTGATTTGGAAATCGACGACCGACGCTTATAATCGAGAACCGCTGTGCAAGTTTATTTTCGAAATATCCAAAAATGACCTTTGGTCATCGCATGACCCTGGAGACCAATTTGCTACCGAGAAAGTAAGATGTAATAGGTACTGGCGAGTCGTCTGTTGTCATTTTTGGCGCTTTAGCTTTACTGGGCGGGTTACAATCTGCTGTGTAAATTTTTGGTCACGTGAACTTTGTTGAGCTCTGCAGGTCAAACGGCTGGGGGTGCCACCGAATTGCTCGGACTGTGAAATTTGCATGTCACAGCCTCTATTGCGAGGAAGTTTCAGCTTTATCTGAGGTGTCCCGAATCTGGGCTGAATCTGGGCTGAATCTGGGCTGAGTCTGGGCTGTTTTGAAGTCCTCTGAGCCCGGTCATGACCCGATGATATGATGACCGTCATCGAACATGTCAGTCATCGTCAGTATGTTGATGGTGGTGCCGTCCTATATGATCGCTGTACTCCATCTCTGTGGACTGGGTGGGACCGACAGAACATGTCAGTCATCGGCAGCATGTCGATGGTGGTGCCGTCCTATATGATCGCTGGACTCCATCTCTGTGGACTGGGTGGGACCGACAGAACATGTCAGTCATCGGCAGCATGTTGATGGTGGTGCCGTCCTATATGATCGCTGTACTCCATCTCTGTGTACTGGGTGGGAACGACAGAACATGTCAGTCATCGGCAGCATGTTGATGGTGGTGCCGTCCTATATGATCGCTGTACTCCATCTCTGTGGACTGGGTGGGACCGACAGAACATGTCAGTCATCGGCAGCATGTTGATGGTGGTGCCGTCCTATATGATCGCTGGACTCCATCTCTGTGGACTGGGTGGGACCGACAGAACATGTCAGTCATCGGCAGCATGTTGATGGTGGTGCCGTCCTATATGATCGCTGTACTCCATCTCTGTGTACTGGGTGGGAACGACAGAACATGTCAGTCATCGGCAGCATGTTGATGGTGGTGCCGTCCTATATGATCGCTGTACTCCATCTCTGTGGACTGGGTGGGACCGACAGAACATGTCAGTCATCGGCAGCATGTTGATGGTGGTGCCGTCCTATATGATCGCTGTACTCCATCTCTGTGTACTGGGTGGGAACGACAGAACATGTCAGTCATCGGCAGCATGTTGATGGTGGTGCCGTCCTATATGATCGCTGTACTCCATCTC